ATATATATATATATATATATATATATATATATATATATATATATATATATATATATATATATATATAGTTACACGTATCAACATCAAACTATTATTTTTATGAAAGTAAAATAATATTTATAAAGTCACGTTTTATTATTAAATTTAGCTATTGACATTTTGTTATTTTCAAATTTAGTTTATGAACTATTATTATAAAGATTTATAGAATTACATACACACAGCAATATTAAAATACTATAGGTTTGGAACAAAATTATATTATTATTACTATTCTTGCTTATTTAATAATAATGACTGCACTACAATAATTGAACTTAAAATATTCGTTTTTCTTTCAACCCTCTATATTTCACTATATGCATCTCGAATAATAAAAAATTTAAAGATTTTGTGGACAATAAAATAAATAATGTATCTTTCAAAAAATAAACAAATGATGAAATAACGTCTACGGCCTGTTTTTGTCTACCGGTTCCACGACAGTAACATTATCCACTAAATTAATAAAAAAGAAATTATAATGGATATTGCCATATTGTTAATATTATGTATATGTGTGTGCATACAGAAGACATTCCCCTACATTATTTAAATTATTTATCGCATTAAAATAAAACTGCGGCTTAAAACTGGTTAATGGTTGCCTTTTTTTAAAATGAAATTAGTCTTTAATTTATCAATATGTGCACGTTTCAAATTATTATTATTATTATTATGTAATCGATTGAAAAATATATTTATAATAATAAAGAGCTTAGTAAAAATGTTTAAATGTACGAATTATATTCAAAATAATTAAGGTGTATAATCTTGTTTACCTTTTTTATAATTTCTATTTAGACGATACAGTTTAGGTAATCAAATAAATAATTGTTTAAAAACATCCACCATCGTGCATGTTTAAATCAAACAACAGAATTGACGGACATATTTAATATATTTTAAAAAATAGAAGATTACAACAACTTAATATATATAAGATTTTCAAATTTCAAAAATTTAAGTCGGATTTCTTGGTAACTAAATTTATATCCACCATAAATTTCATTTCTTTTAACTGCACAATTAAATGTGTTGAAAAATACAATAGATAACAATATATATATATATATATATATATATATATAATAATAAAATATACTTTTTACTCTGAAGAGGTTAGTTTTAAATATTAACTGAAATTTTTCAGAAAATGAATTTTTTTTTTTTAATTAAAAAAATACCTTTATGATTAATACGTGAATAGAACGTGTCTTAACAATACTTATTAACTTTCAAAATTAACATTAATATCTTCAAATTTTTAGAAAAAATAAAATATTTTTTATGATAGATTATTTTATTTATATATTGACCAATAATTTTTATTTGTATTCTTTATATATGGGTGTGGGGTTAATACGGTTTTTAAAAGTTAATGGATATTTTTTAATACCAGATTTTTTGTATTTTTGAAAGTTGGATAATTTTTTAAAATTCAAAAATATATTTTTTTTTAATATTTCGAAACAACATATTAATAATAATCTACACAAAGATATTTTTAATTTAAAAAAAAAAAAGAAGATATTTTTGAAGAAAAATAACAATTAACGTTTAAAATATTATTGAAAATTGTAAAAATTTAAACGTACTTTCATACAAATTACCAAAGTCTAAATATTTTTTTATAATTAATTTAGCCTCTAATATATATTAAACCAGTTTAAATCAAATTTAAATTTCAAATATATATTTATATACAATAATTCAAATCATGAAATACAATAAATATATTATCTTTAATATTAAATTAATTATAATATTTGTATTTTATATTTAATATATAAAATATTAATTTATACCATTCAAATTAAATATATATTTATCATTTAAAACACAAATTAATTTGGTGGCTCCCGGGAAAATAACTTTAAAATGGATATCTAATTTGGGTCAAGCCACCAAGTATCATCCAGTGTACAGCCCAAACCGTGTCAATTACAGAAATAATAATAAAAAAATCAATAGGCAAAGTATTATAATAATAATAATAATAATAATAATAATAATAATAATAATAATAATAATAATAATAATAATAATAATAATAATAAAAGAATGGCAATTACAGAAATAAATAAAAAAGCGAAAGGGCTAAGTATTTACGTCTTGGGTAACAGAAAAGGAAATAAAATAGCAAAAAAGGCTGCTCTTCCTCTTTTCCCTCCTCCCCTGAACTCAGAACGCCGATTCAATCCCCTTCCTTCCCTTATATCTTCTCTGTGAATTTCTTTCTCGACCACCGCTCCTCCCTTCTTCTTCTACATTGCGCCTCCTGCTTCTTTCTTCTACTTCTCGCATGGCTTTCTCCTTATTCAGATTGCCATCTCTCTGAACCCACCACTACACAATGACCGGTACATGGAAGAAACTCAAGATGGCTTTTGGGACTCGTATGTGTCTCCATCTTCCTCGTGTGTCTGGGGATTCGACGCCGTCTAGTAATGTTGCTCCCATGTCCTCCGAGGCTGTTTCTCCGATGGGTAGTGCTTCAAATTGCCGCCAATCTTCGCCGATTCATTCTTCGTCTAGTTCCCGTGTATCCAAAAGCGGATCAAGGTCTTCTAGGGTAATGATTCTGTTTTCTCGTTATTGGAATTGTCGATTAATTGCCTATTTCAATTCAATTTTGTTTGGTGGGTTGTCTTATCTTCTTTTGAAATCTTGTTACTCTTTTGGTTTTTGATTCTAGGTTGTTTTGAATACTCTTCCTATGATTGTTCTTTTTGTATTCGATCAGTTTTTTCATAGAATATCTATGACGGATTCTTACTGATCCTCTCAATAATGGGTTTTGAAGAAAACTTTACATAATGGTTTAGTTTTGCACGTTATCAGAGAATATTTATGCTTACAGAAATACAAACCCTTCTTTCGACGGACGGAGGCTATTGGTGTTTTCTTGTCTTATCCCGTTTCGAAATATTGTTGCCTCTTTCGTTATTCGTGTGGGGTACGATTGGATTTATTAGAACTTAGTTGTGATTTGTGAAAGAAGGCTATTCCTTGTTGGGTTCTGTTTCTTACTGTTTATGTTATTATCTTTCTTTTGCTATGTTCTAATCGTTTGATCAAGTGGAAGAACCCTTTGTTCTTTTCAGCATAATCTGTTAAGTGTTAAAACTATAATGCATCTTAATGCTGGCCAAGAAGGTTCTTGTCGATTCTGGGAAATCTGATCATATTAGGCAG